ACTTACCGGTTTGGACTGATCAACAGAGAATGCCTGCAAAACTTTCTCAATATACTTTTCTTGAGAAACCCATAACCGTCTTGCTTCTCTATCACGCCAGATCTCCATACCAAGTATTTTCTTTGCCGCACCCAAATCCTTCATCTCAAACTCACCCTTTAGTAGAGCCTTCAAGTCATTAATTACAGCCATATTTTTAGCTGCAATTAACATATCATCCACATACAACAGCAGATACACAAAGGAATCAGTAGAAACTTTCTTCGAGTAAACACAGTTATCAAACTGATTACGAGTATAACCAATAGACACCATGAATGAGTCAAATCTCTTGTACCATTGCCTCGGAGACTGCTTCAAGCCATACAGAGATTTCTTTAACAAGCATACCTGGTCCCCTTTAGAACTGTAGAACCCCTCCGGTTGAGACATGTAAATCTGTTCTTCTAGATTACCATGAAGGAATGCTGTTTTTACATCAAGCTGCTCCAGCTCCAGATCAAAAGCACCCACCATTGCCAAAAGAACCCGAATGGTTTTGTGTTTCACCACAGGAGAAAAGACTTCATGGTAATCGATTCCTTCCTTCTGTGAAAACCCTTTTGCCACCAGTCTCGCCTTGAACCTAGCAGGTTCAACACCAGGAATTCCCTCCTTTCTTTTAAAGACCCACTTGCATCCCACTGGCTTCACCCCTTTTGGTAGTGCAACAAGATCCCAAGTCTTGTTCTTTTCAAGAGACTGCATCTCTTCATTCATTGCCATAATCCAGGTTTCTGCATCTTTACTCGCCACAACTTCTTTATATGTCTTTGGCTCATCAGAGCCAAGATCATCACCAACCGCTAGTGCATAAGCAACAGAATCCGTGTCACACGTATTGACACATCCTGCAAACCTAGCTGGTTTCTGAATATTTCTCTTTCCCTTTCTTGCTGCTATGGAATCTTCAACCCCAGTACCAGCGTCATCAGCTTCTTCCCCTCAACCAGTTTCCCTTGAGGTTTTGACTGATCTGGTTGATCGGATTGATCAATAGTATTATCCTGCTGCTTTTCCTCTAACACAACTCTGTCAGGAGTCTCAAACTCCACCCTCTGGTTAGCACCACAATCTTTTGTACCTGCAATACTTTCACAAACTCTACTCTGATCAAGCATAGCAGATTCATCAAAGGTTACATCTCTGCTAATAAGAAATTTACCAGGATTTTTACCTTCTGTACACCACAGTCGATAACCTTTTACTCCTGTTGCATACCCTAGAAATATGCATTTTACCGCCCTCGGCTCCAGCTTACCATCATTCACATGAGCGTATGCAGGGCATCCAAATATTCTTAGATTAGAGTAATCAGAGGGTTTACCGGACCATACCTCTTGAGGAGTCTTTAAGTCAATTGCAGTTGATGGAGATCTATTAACCAGATAGCTAGCAGTGTTTACTGCTTCAGCCCAGAATTGCTTAGACAAGCCAGCAAATATACGCATACACCTAGCACGCGCCATGAGGGTTTGGTTCATTCGCTCTGCAACTCCATTTTGTTGTGGTGTGTGTCGTACAGTGCGGTGCCTCACTATACCTTCTTTCTTGCAGAAATCATCAAATGGAGCGTTGCAGAACTCCAACCCATTATCAGTTCTTAGAGTCTTGACCTGTTTACCCGTCCGTTTTTCAACCATGGTCTTCCACTCCTTGAACTTCCCAAACACCTCATCTTTAGTCTTTAGAAAGTACAACCAGACCTTTCTCGAATAATCATCTATAAAAGTGACAAAGTAAGAACACCCGCCCTGCGATTTCACCGGAGAGGGACCCCATACATCTGAATGAACATACTCCAGAATTTCTTTTGAAGTGTGATGACCGGTACTAAACCTCACCCTGCGTTGCTTCCCTTTTACACAAGCCTCACAGAATTGAATTTTACCTATCACATCCCCACCAAATAAACCCTGCTTGCTCAACACAGACAACCCTAGCTCACTCATGTGACCTAATCGCCGGTGCCACAAATTTGTCCTGTCATCGTGTTTATCCAAGGACTGAGATACCGCCGCCGTTCCCATCACTGAACTGCCCTGTAGAAAATAAATTCCATGCTGCAGTTTTCCCTTCATCATTACCAGCGCACCTTTCAGGACTTTCACCCACTCACCTTCACCATGATATTTTAAACCATTCTTGGCTAAGGTCCCAAGAGAAATCAAATTCTTTCTGAGTTCAGGAACATACCAACAGTCAAATTTCCTGACAGTACCGTCATGCAATTTTATCTGCACTACCCCGCTCCCTTTTATGGCTAGAACCCCATCATCACCTAACTTCACCGTTCCATTCCACTCCTTAAAAGAAGTGAGTAGATCACGAGAGAACGTCATATGGTGAGAAGCACCGGTATCCATAATCCAGGAATCAGCAGTACTAGCACTACACGCTGTCAGAACTTCACCAAAGTCCCCATCATCAGAACTGTCTTGTACATCAACATCACTGCTGCCACTGTTACGTGGTTCGGTGACGGTGTGTCAACCTACGTCCACGGGCAGGAACCGGAGAGATTTTATTATACTGATTCAGAGATTTACAATGTGTCATCTGACTAAGAACCATAGTTGTCTATTTATAAGCACCCCAAAACACCCTAAACCGTAAGCCTATTTGTTATCGATTAGGATAAGCCCAAAAGGAACTCTGCCAATTAAAACAGCCCTTTCGCTTTGGTTTAGGGTCGGGTAGACCGCTAAATCCAAGTCACGTTTCAACAATAAGATTAGTATAATAAAATAAATAAAAATTAAATATTTGATATGATGTTTTTGAAAAAAAAATAAAAATAAAATAGTAAAATCAGTAGCAAAATTTTACAAATAAACAAAGCATGTTATTTCAAATATTTTACCAAGGCCATCTCCAATATGCTTTCTATTTATACAGCTCTAACTCTAAAAATGAAGTTGCTATAATATTTTTATTTCAATTCAAAACTCTATTTTTAACTTCAAAGAAAGAATTTCTCCAAATATTTTATTTTATATATTATTTTAAATAATTTTTTTATATTTACAATTCACACCCAATATTTATTATTATTTACATAATTTTTTATTATTACTTAATAATATTTATAATATAAATAAATAATTTTTTATTTTCAAAGAAAATAATTTTTACGAGTTAAATAAATATTATATTACATTCGTTCCGCTTTAAGGATCTCATCTACTTTTTACATGTCGATTTTTTAATATTAATTATTATATCAAAGCGTAGTACAAATTAAGAAAAAATTATAAAAATATTTTCATTAGTGTCTTATAATACTAATAGAATATTTGTAAAAAAAATTATATAAATATAAAAATATTTTTAATGTTAAATACAATGGCGCAAAAAGTAAATATGTAACCCTTATAGGCGAACGGAGGGAGTATTAAATACAAAAAATTACAAAATATTAATTTAAAATAAATATTACATTAAATACGAATATTACAAGTTAATTTATATGTTTTTATTCATTTACAAATATAAAATATTATTATGTGATAAATACTTAGACAAAATTCATAATTTTTTTTATCGAAAATTACTTCGAATGTTTACAAATATTCTAATTATTTATTGTAAAATTTAAGTATATTTAAAACATAATTATTATAATAAATTTAAATCACTAACTAAATAATAAAAACAACAAATAGATATAATTAAAATATAAAATATTGCATATTGATCCGTGTATAATTAAATCAAGACCAATATGTAATTTTTAAAAATTAAAAAGAAAAATTTAAAGAAAAAAAGATCAAAAACCATAAAATGGTATAGTGTTGCAATATAGCAAACACCATAAATGGTGTCAAGAATGGCGATGGGTTGGAGGGCTACATATCCATTTTATGCGGTTGTGACAACGCGTTGTAGATGCCCTAATCTTTTTCTCATAATTAAAGATATATATGTATATATATATTTTTATCGTAATTAAAAATAATAATATTTTATTAATTATATAAATATAAAATATTTTGATATTTTTGTACGTTTTACTTTTTATATAAATTCATTCTATGTGTAATAATATATTTTAATTTATATAAAAATTAAAATATGTTAATATTAATGTTCGATGACTTTTATTACTCACTTCGTTTCAATACAATAGTCTTGTTTACTATTTTTGTTCGTCTAAAAACAATAGTCTTATTTCCATAAATAACCATATCACTGAATAACTACCCTTACTCTTTCGTTATTATTACACAATTGCTACTACCTTTTTACACTAATACACTCACAATGGCAAAAATATTTTTTATCTATATTTTTTATTTACTGTCAATACCCAACACAACCAAAACTATAGTTTCAGATCGAGGGAGTATAATATAAAAAATATTTTAAACGATATAAACAAAAATGTTAAAAAAATACATTTGGTTGGGATGACGGTAGTATCATTTACTATAATTTAAGACATTGCAAAATTTTGGGGGTTTGTTGGGTTGTGAAATTTGTTTTATTAACACAATTTTTTCTCTTACATTTTAAAAATAATTTATAAAAAATCTACAACAAAGTTATATAGTTTAAGAAATCATCAAAATTATATAATTAAAAAAACAGTAAAAAACACAAAACAAGCAAAAGAAAATAAACGAAATTAGTACTCCCTCCGTCCCAAACATCTTGCAACATTTTCTTTTAGGTATGTCTCAAACATCCTGTAACATTTCCAAAATAAGAAATAATTAATTATACTTAATCTCTATCCCACACTTTATTCCCTTACGTCATTCAAATAAAAAATAAAATATATATTTCTCTCTCCATTACATCACCTAATTTCTAAATTATCCTACTTAATACTATCCGCCTAAAAAATCGTGCCAAAAGCAAATATTGCACCTTATTTGGGACGAAAGGAGTATTATATAATTCCATTGGATGTACCATACGTGCTTAAAGAAGCATATTTGATATTAATAAATACTCCATAAACAATAAATTATCTCCCAAAATAGATAAAGTAAAATTATAAGAAAAATACAAAGAATCAATACAATACCAACACCCCAAACTATAGAAAAATAATTTATAATTTATAAAAAAAACAAAAAGGGGGAAAGAAAAAAAAAGGGGGACATTAAACTTAGTACCCCTCGTCCCCAACCAAACCATTCAATATTTCACCCTCCCCGCATTGAATGCTTGTACCTTCTAACATGTGTATGTTAGTGCCTTTATGACCATTCTGCCCCAAATTACGCATCCCACGTGACCTTTGCCCCCACCATTTTGCCAGCTGTCAGAAATCCAACCGTCCACTGACTTGTCCTATAAAGACTACACATACCCCCGTCTTTAATTCGCCTCGCCTCTTCAACAACCCTAACCACCGCCTTAAACCACCGCCGGCGCCGCCGTGCCGGAAATTCTTGGATCGTTCTTCATGGATTCCACGGCGGCGCTCAGATCTCTGGGACGGACATTCACTTTGAGCCCGTACTTCATGAACAATGTGAGGGACATCTTCTGCTCCACCTTGTGGCCCTCCGCCACCGTCAGGCGGTGGCGGAGCAGCACCGCCGCCGCTATCGACTTCATCTGGAGGTACGCCAGGTCCTTTCCCAGGCATATTCTCGGACCGGCGTTGAACGCCACGAACCTGTAAGAATCGTGCATCACGAACTTGTCGCCGCCGTTGGACAGCCACCGCTCCGGCCGGAATTCATGGCAGTCGTCTCCCCACGCCGATTTCATCCTCCCCGCCGAGTAAATCGAGTAGGTCACCGACGACCCCGCCGGCACGAAGGTTCCGTCGGGAAGCACGTCGTCGGCGACGACGTGCTTCGAATCCTGCGGCACGGAGGGGTACAGCCGGAGAGTTTCCGACAGGGCAGCTTTCAGGTAAATCAAACGGTCCAGCTCGTCGAACGCGAGCGGCTCGTTAATCCAAGCGTCCAGATTTGCGCCACGTGTCTCGATCAGGACCGTCGACAGCTCGTTCATAATTGCCCTCTCCACCCTCGGATTTTGCATGAGCAGCCAGAAGAACCAGCTGAGCGCGACGGATGACGTGTCACGGCCAGCGAGGATGAAATTCAGCGCCACGTGTTGCAGAAACTTGTCGGAATACGAAGATTCCTTCTTCTTCATAAATCTGGAAAGCAAATCATCGTGCGGGTTCGTGTCCTTCTGCTGACACGTCAGCTCGAGCTTACGGGCGGTGATCACACTGGATAAATACTCATCCACGTGGACCAGGCTCCGGCTCAAGCTGACTTCCATCCCGAGCCGAAGCCACTTCTTCAACTTCCATATAACCTCAGGGAATATGAACCTCTGCAGCGAGGCTTCGGTGGCTCGGTCGAACGCAGCCGCGAAGCCATTCTCGGGCAGGCCCGGCGCCAGCGTCTGCGGGTCCTTCCCAAAAGCCAAGCCGCAGATATTATCAAAGGTGAGGCGAAGCAAGAGATCCTGCAAGTCGACCGGCTTGGCTTCGGCTTGAGCCGACTCCAAAATGGGGCAAAACCTGTCCTTTATAGCGCGATTGACCCATCGAGCCATGGCTTGGCGCAGCGTCCGAGTTGTGAACTCGAGCGCCGCCGTCTTCCTCTGGAACAGCCACGTGTCCCCGTCGGAGTTGAAAATCCCCTGCCCGAGTAAATCGTGGAACACCGCCTGCCAGGTCGGGCCCTTAGGGTAATTATCGAATCGGGCTTTGAGTATATGCTCCAAATTCTTGGGGTCGCACGTGACGGTCACGAGGCCCTGTTTCCGTGCGAGGAAGGGCACGGCGCAAATGCAGGTCTGGTAAGTGCCGCCGCAGGCACGGAGGTTGTCGGCGATCCAGTCGTGCATACGGTCGGCGTTCTCAATGAGGCCGGGGAGGCTGCCCAGTAAGGGCCAGACACGTGGCCCCTTGAGCGACTTGGAAATGAAGGTGAACCACAGCAGATAACACGTAACCCCACTGAACAATAGCAACGCTACACACATATCCATCACTACAATGCCCGGCCGGCTGCCCCTGCCCCTGCCCCTGCCCCTGCCCTAAATTAGAAAAAAGAAAGCTCCAAACTTTAATTTTACTATACTACTTTATATTGCATCAACACAACACCCTTTCTCTTTCTCTCTCTCTCTCTCTCTATATATATATATATTATGTGTATGTATCTGTCTGTGCAGAATGGAGATGGAAGAAAGGACTGAAATGGCGATGATTTATAGCTAGAGAGAGAGAGAGAGAGATAGAAGAAAAAGCAAGCCAGGCTGTGCCTTTAATACAGAGAGAGAGAGAGAGAGACGACCATAATCACAAATTGTGTCAATATAAAGAATCACCATAAATGCATAGCAGAGGCAGTTGAAGAAGATAAAAAAACAATTCAATCTCCAATAAATAGAAAATCAAAAAAAAAAAAAAAAGAGAGAGTTACAGAGGGCAAAGGGAAAGAGTTTTGGTGCAAAAGGTCCTCCAACTAATTGAAAAAAGAGACCGAAAGCATTGAATTATCACAGCTATAAATGACAAGGCAGAAATAAATGGGATTAGTTGAGAAACCATGGGTAGACTAGTAGTACTACTACTACTTAGGGGTGGAAATAGGCCAGGCCAGGCCAGGCTTTGGTTAAATAGGCTTGGCCTGTCTTAAAAAGATATGGCCTGAGCCTGGCCTACCAGCCTGAAAAAAAAATATTTTTAAAGCCTGAGCCTGGCCTTTTTAAAAGCCTGGCCTAGCCTACGAGCCTGTTTAAAAGGCTACATAATAATTTATTATTATTATTATTTTTTTTTTTTTTGTAAATTTCGTACTATAAATAAAAAATAAAACAGATACAATTATTTATATTATATATAAAAAAATAAAAAATTCTGTTTTTTAATGACAAAAATAATCATTTTTATTGCCATATAAAAATACAATATATTATACTAATAATTTGCAAAAAAACGTATATTACAATTCATTCAAATATATATATAATTATTGAGAATAAGTCTTGCAAACTCCAGACAAAAGCTGATAGAAATTACTGCATAATGACATTAAAAAAAAAAACAGTTTACATCTATCTATTGTCATTATTATATATAAAACTATTCTTATTTTATAATAATAAAAAATAATTTTATATAATAATAATATTATTATTAAACAGGCCGGCCTGTTTAGTAAATAGGCTTTTTCATAAGCCTAAGCCTATTCTGTATATATAAACAGGCTTTAACAAAAATCTGAACCTGGCCTTTCTAATAAATAGAACAGGCCAGGCCAGGCTTGATGTAGGCCAGGTCATAGGCCCCTGACAGGCCGCCTGGCCTATTTCCACCCCTACTACTACTACTACTCTATTGCATTTGCAAGCTTCAATATATATCAAAATATATACATATATATATTTTAATTTCTTTGGGATTGTGGAGATAATATACATATATGAATCTTGAATTTGTAAAAATAAATGAAATGAAAGATGGGGTTGGATCTTTGTGGGTTGTGACTGGTTCACAGTTTGGTGAACAACAACCCACCAACTATTTACACCACGGTGCTTAAATTGCGTGACTCAATTAAAATTTTCAAATTTCAGGCATAAGGCAAGGCAATACTTCTAAGAAATTCCATCTTTTTATCAATCTTAATTTCAAATATAAAAAGATAAATATATATATATAAATATTTTCCTTTTTTTTTTTTTCATTCAAAGTTTCAAACCTTGGGGCTTTGTGATTGACCGTCGTCGTCGTCTTCAATTCAATGCAGGACAGGGCAGGGCAGTGCAGAAAATAAGGTTGCAAAAGTCAACGGCTTTCAGCCATGAATTTTTACTACTGCCAAGAAAAGAAAGACACAAGTCAACCTGTATTTTTTTTTTAAAAAGAAAAAATTAAATTAAATTAAAAGAAAGAACGAAAGAAGTGTGAGGTGAGGTGATTTTTGGAATTTGAGCCCTTTAAGTGCCAATCCTTTATTTTGCATGAAAAATCAGAGTTGGGTACGTGATAACTACCGTTCATGTTCGCTCATCCAAGTTGGTTATGTTGTTTTGTTAATTTTATTATAGTTTTTATTATTGAGATATTTTATTTTTTTTATAAAAAAATATCATATCAGATTATTTTTTATTTTTTATTTTATATTACAAATTTATTTTAAATCTTCGTTTATACCCTATAAAATAATTATTCAAATTCAATTTTTTACTATTAATAAATCAAAACCTAAAAACTAAAATCCACACACAAACAAACCATTCATGTTTTTTAATTTTAAGTTTTCATTGTATTTGATTTTTTTCTTTTTATAAAAATATATATTGTGTTTGTGGTGTTTTGATTAAGTTTTAATAATTCTAAATTTTTATTTTAACAAAAATCATATCAAATATATTATTTATTTATTATATTGTACTCCCTCCGACCCATAACTAGATATCTATTTGCTTTTTGCACAAACTTTTAGAAATATTAGTATTATATTGGGATGTAGTAAAAATAAAATGGAAACGACTTAAATAACCTTATTAGTATGTGTGATATAAATGTAACGACATTTGTGTAATATATTGTAAATTGTAAGGGTATTTGTAATGTTAGGTAGATAGTACAATTACTAAAAAAAGAAATAGATATTTTGTTATGAGACGGACTAAAATAGAAAAATAGATACTTTATTATGGGATGGAGGAAGTATTAAAATTTAATTTTACATTAAAAATATTATATCGATACGTAATGTGCGGTTGCTTAGTGTTTTTTTTAACTATTTTTTTATGTGATGTATAAAAACGCGTGTCAATGATAGGAAAAAAAGTACTCCCTCCGTCTCCACTTAGTTTGTCCACTATTTTTATTCTATCAATTCGCATAATTTATCTTCTTTTTTTTCGGAAATATAATTATACATTTTAATCATATTTTAAAATTCATAATTTATAATTTTTATTTAATTTTAATTAAACTATTTAGTCATCTTAATCTTAATTTATAATTATTTTTATTAAATCATAATTGTTTTAACTAATACACCTTTTAATTATTTATTAATTATACAATCTCTAAAACTCCGTGCCTAATCTAAACGAGACAATTTAGTTGAGACGGAGAGAGTAATATTTTAGATTGAATACTTACTTTTTATAAGAAAATAGAATATACTATTCTCTCCGTTCCTTAATAAACTATCAATTTTTCTCTTTTGGCCCGTCCCATAACAAATCTACCTAATATTACAAATACGCTTACAACTTATATTACACAAATGTCATTACATTTATATCACACAATTCTAATAAGGTTATTTTAGTCACTTCTACTTTATTCCTATTATATATTAATATAATACTAATATACATAAAACTAGGTGCAAAAAGTAAATGAATATTTACTTATGGGACTGAGGGAGTATACTTTTTCAGTCCCATAAAAAAATATAATTTTTTATTTTTTTTGGTTCCAAAACAAATGTACAATTTTTTAATTTATTAATTGGACTATCTACCTACCATAATAAATACTTTTATAATTCATAATATATTAAACAAATGTCATTACTTTTATATTACATCGTACTAATAAGAGCACTTTTGTCATTCTTTTTTTTTTTTTTTAATTACATACCAATATAATACTAATATTAAAAAATCTACGTAGAAAAAATAAATAATGTTCTTGTTACGGGACAGAGGTAGTATTATAATTATTGAGAATTTTGTTGGGTTTCGGTGAACAGAATCATATTTATATCATGTCAAATAATTATTTCTATTCAAAATTTTATTATTTAAAATCCAAATTGAAAATCAAAACCTAGCGCAAACATACCCACATAATTTTTAAATAATAAATAAAATTAATCTCCAACACAAAATATACTCCCTCTGTCCCAACTAAATTGTCCTATTTAGCTTAGGCACAAAGTTTTAAGTATTGTGTAATTAGTAAATAATTCAAAAATGTATTAGTGAAAATAATTATGATTTAATAAAATAATTATATAATACTCCCTCCGTCCAAGCTAAAAGTATACAATTACTTTTGGCGCGGAGATTAAGGAATAATAGTATTTTAATTATAATGAGTAGGTAAAAATAGTAAATGACATTTTTAACCTTACTTTTTTGGTATAAAAGTAATGATGCGATGTAAAGTAGGGGTATTTGTGAAAAAAAATGAGGTATTTAATGAAATGGTTACTTTGTAATTGGACGTCCCAAAATAGAAATATGTATACTTTCTAGCTGGACGGAAGGAGTAATATTAAAATGACTAAATAGTTTACTAATTATTTTTCTCAACGATTACATTCTCAACTATATTCTAAATTTAACACATTATTTCTACCAAACAATCTTGTTTTTTATATTCATATTTGAACTTATGTCAAGAAGTGATCTCAAACTGACAATCTAAACTGTTATAATTTAACACACTGCCGTTTTAAACAAAAGACTTACTATGTTAACTTTAACACACCGTTTTTACCAAAAATGACTCTTAAAATTTAGTTAAGAATGGAAGCTTAATATCAATCTTAAGCTTGTAGTACAATAGCAATCTTGGTTTAACTAAATTATATGTATTTGCTTGAGTACTTACTAGTAAAATTGAGAAATATTCCTGTGTGTATTATGTAATTATGTGGCTAGTGTAAGATGGAGCTACGTCAATTCATAGGGTAGTCTATTGTGTATAGGGATGTTAATGGGGCGGGTTCGGGACGGGTTCTGCAGGCCCCGAGACCCGCCCCGCTAGAAAATATTAATCTCTGAGACCTACCTCGCCCCGCTTCCACCCGGTCCCAGGACCCGCCCCGAACCCGTTTTTAAAAAAATATATAATAATAAATATTTTTTTAACAATCGAATACTAAAACAAATAGCATTAAAAATACAAGAAAAAAAAATCTAAAAACAATCAAATATTGATCCAAAAAAATAAGATAAATAAATAAATAATATATTTTTATTATATAAATATACATATATTAGGTATAATAATTTTAAAAAATTATTTGGAGCAGTTGACTAATTGAATTTTATATTTAAAATTATTTAAGTAAATAAATAATATATTTTTATTATATAAATGTACATATATATTAGTTATAATAATTTTAAAAAATATCCGAGTTCGGGTCCGGGTCCGGGTTGGGGCAGGTTTTTAGTAAAACCCATAACCCGCCCCGAACCCAGCCAGATTTAAAATTTTAAATCTACAATCCGCCCCGAAACATATTATTTAGACCCGAACTCGCCCTATTAAGAACTGG